TATTTTTAACCAAAACAGTGACCATGGTCCACGAGCAAATGTAGGTGGCTATAGCACTGAAATTCATTCAATCGACGAATTGGCTGCGCCGAGTTACGTAAATCATGTTCAAAAACCATCAATAAATCGGATATCGGACAGTATTTTTAATCAAAACAGTGACCATGGTCTACGAGATGCTTTGGTACAAGGCAATAATGATGAAAAGTCCAGTGTCTATAAACACCTGCCTAGTCAGAGGCGTGTTTGGAGCTTACCAAAATACGACGACTTCCAAAGTAATGAGTGAGTACACATTTAAAACTGTTTATATATAAGACGCTATCGCCATTGTAACATTTTTGCATATTATAATATACTTTTTTTTTATTTTTACAGCCAAGGTTATAGTACCGTAAACAAAATGCCACAACAAAGAAAATCGATTCCATCCTTAAATCCTTTTCCAATTAATGGTCGGTTGCCAACACATGCACAAACGAGGGGTGCACAATTAGTAGCAATGGCCCTTGGACAGAAATTAACACATTCAAAATTTTGATTATATACTGTTTATAAAGCAACAATTGTATGAAAAGAAAAAAAAATATTGTTCATTTATGTGAATGGATTGACTTTATAGATATGCACAAGCATGCTTAATCAAAAATAAATGCAATTTTTATAAAATGAATTATTTAACAATTGTAAATTAAATTCGAATATCTTAATTAAACTTTGAAATTCAAAAAGCGTTTCGAAAATAAGAACAGAAAAATACATAGTATTTATAATAATGAAATCGTCATGAAGAATGCATTTATCTGCTGGAGTCCATTGTTATATATATAACGACAACTAATACATAATTTTAACTCGTTTTGTAATTGAATTTTCCGAAGGCACTCCTAAAACTAATTCTGCTTCTTGAACTGATTTAGAATATAATTGGTTTTTTTGAGTCGAAAGATTGGCCAATATAAGATCAGAACACTCTCCAAATTTGAAGATGTTTTTGATATTCGTCTTATGTGTTGTGTTATCTCCAAAAAATTTAACGTTTATTAGATCATGATTGAGCTCGATTACGCAGCATGGCCAATGGCAAAAACCTCTCATTTTGCATAATACAACGTCACCAATTTGAACACTCGTTGCATGTTTTGGTAGCGATTTTTTGACTGTAGCTATTGCCTGATGTTTCGACGATGTTGGCTGTCTTTTGATTTCATCATGAGATGTTTCTGCAGTTCATGAACGATAAAAATGTGTTAATATGCTAATTAACATTCATTTCCATATCAATAGGTGAGAATTATTGTATGCAGAAATTAAAAATGTCACTCTTTTATTTTTAAATGGATTCCTTCTCACATTAATCCTCATTTATTCATGTGCACTGTGTAAATAAATATGTTCAAACATCATATAATATGAATACGAACCATTTCTCGATGCTTTTAAATTGAAATTCCGATCATACCGTTCAGAAGCTACTTCATTGAGCCTAATTAGTGCTCCAGACATAGACCGTGTCTTTATTTGGTCATCAAAAGTGCCAACATGATCATGATCATCTCCGGATTTTTTTTGATGATTTCGTACTGAGTCTATATGAGACATGTTACATATAAATTAGTTTTTTTTATTACATAACCTAACTATTTTTATGGTATTTATATATACGAACCATTTGCAGATATAATAAAATCATCATTCCTAGGACTTTGTTCATGAACATTTCCAGCAAATTTTACCCTTTTTATTGGATTAATTTGGTCGTTATCCATTCGATGGGCATTTTTTCTTTTGATTTTAATGGTAAATGTATTGAGTTCATCTTGCCTAATATTGCATACCAATTTGGTGTTATTTTCAGAGGATGTTGCTCTACATCCAATTCTAATTTTCGAGAAAAAAACTCTTTCCAGTTTTACCACACATGGCTTGATTCCAAAATTCTTGAGATTATTATTATATTTTTCCATTATGAAAATAAATTTGAATTATATCTTAACAATGAACAGATAAAACTTAATGAAGACACGTCTCAAGTACTTGTTGCTACACACTATTAAGATAAAATATGATTATATGCAGCTTGAGCTGGTGGTGAATATGTGTATATAAGTGTACACACAATTTTTTTTACAGTGTAATGAACAGAAAGCCGACTTTAGCTGTCAAACGTTTATATAAACTAATATATTGAAATAAACGTTTAGATTAAAAGTAATATTCAAATTGGTTTTTTAAAATGGGTAAAATTATACATTTCGATAAA